CAAATATTATCGTAAGTAATCTTACCCGTAGAAGTAGCTCAGGGCACTGACGCAGACTTCTACCATGGCCGCCTTTTTGGTTGATCCTACGAAAAATAAATTAATAGCAATAATAATTGATTTTTGTAGAAACAATTTTTAATAGAAATATTAATTAATCCAACCAATAAAATTAATCGATATGTGTTCCAAATATTATTAAGTTTATGCTACGTGAATTGTAATTATATTTTTTATCTTACCTATTAGCCTTTAGAACAATTGTACTTTGTAGACAGTATACAGCAGGTTAAATTAATTTTGGCCAAAAAAATTACATTTGTAAATGTGATGGTGTGTATAAAATATAACAATATAATTTAAAATTTGTATAGATACTCTTAAATTTAAAAAAAAAAACTAAAAACGAACGTTATTCTTGGCGTTACTAAATATATCCATCAAAGTACGAACTTCAAATATTTGTAATTGTGTTTATATATTTTTTACATTATTTGATTACGCAGTATAAACTATTTATGAGAACCGTTGTTTTAAATTTTTATCCTTAGCTATAAATTGAACATTGTATAATCTTTTAACTACAAAATGATATGTTAATTTCGAATTTAATAAATTTTGGCAAAAATTCAACTTTGAATACATATAAAAAAAATCGTGCTTATGGATCTTGAATATTTTTTTTTATATTAACTTTTATTAAAAATTTCAGTATACCTATATAATACAAAAATATTACCTCGTCCAACAAATAATATATCTTCCATAGTCATGGACACCTCGATGACTGGTGGAGGGTTTGATCGTACCAGAGTGTGTGTTCAACTGATTGAAGAGGAGCACCGGGTGGTATTCCGAAGGATTCTTCGGGAAATTTTTCATTGCCTAAAATAAAATTCGTTCAGCAAGAGTAGGCAGGCCAAGTACGTTTGCGATATTGGTATACCTAATCGTGAGCTAAGTGGGGAATGCCTAACGCAAAACAACAAAATCTCAAAAATCTATGTTGAACACGTTCGAGTTGATTTTAATATCAGAGACAGTGTACGGATCCCAGACAACCGACCCATACTCTAAAATAGGACGAACTAAAGCACAATATAATGATTTTGACAATTTAAAGTTTTTAGATAGACGCATAATGAACCCTATTATATTATATATACCTATTTATAGGTATCCATACCCAACTGCTGTGGATCTCGAATTGGTCATTGGTCAAATCTATACATTATCTGCTGACTAAGCGGAGTTTTTATCCGTTGAATTCATGTTTGCGATCGAGGGCTGTTTTTTGGATTCTTCCAAGCCTGTCTATAATCGATTTAAAGATATCGACAAAAATAACACAACCTGATAAAATAAAATAGTGTAAAATTCGTTAAGTTAAACAATGTACCTATTTGTTCATACCTGTTCTGAAGATTTGCTGTATATGTCGTCACTTGTCGTTGTTATTGTCTTTGTCGTCGTAATTTTCTTCATTGACGTCGCATTCATCATCGTCGTTGTCGGTTTGGTCGAACGTATGCTGTGTAACTATGCTGTTCTAGTAATTCGATAGATTTCTTACAGTTTTAAATAAATGTAAGTAGGTATTCAAATCAAACGCTATAAGCAGGCAATGACGAAATCCAGCAGTATAATTATTTCTGTGTATTGTTTAGCTAATAATATACTATAAATAATAAATGATTATAAAATAAAGTCACAAAACATTGATTAAACCACTGTTTTTTTACGAAGTTTTTTTCTAGGGCACATAATATGTTAGAATCACGACGCATAGGTATAACTACCAATATAATATCAAATCTTGATTTGAGAAAAAACAGATTTTGTTATTTTATTACTCTTTTTTTACCGACCACATATAATAATATGCAGTAGGTAGGCTTAATTATAGGTACTTGCCTAACTTACAACGTACCAACCAGATTCAACTTAATTTTGTAGTTGCTCGCAAAATAAAAGCATCTGATTCGCGTTGTCTATCACTCTATCAGCCATTTATGGACTTACAGCATATGAATAAAATATAATACTATGAATAAATAATACAACAAACTTATTGCATAAAAAAATTTATATTTAATCACAAACAAAGAAAAACCGTCAGGTATATCATGTTCTAATACACGAAATGTAAAAAATGCAAAACAATTGTTACTATAGGTATATGCACCTATATATCATGCATATAAAAAACAAAATATGAAAAAATTGAATAGGTACATTAAAAAGTATATAAAATAAATGATCGAATACATGATAATATATCATATATGTATAATATATTTATATATCTATAATATTATCTGAAGGAAAACAGAGCTTATAGATTATTTATGTGTTATTCGTTATCCGAATAAAATACATTTTGAAAAGCAGTAAGAAAGAGGTAAAAAAATATATGTTCTAAAAGCAATAAATAATGTACACTAAAGTGTGCACACAAATACAAAGAATTAAAAAAAGTTGTAATTTAAAAAACAATAGGTTCGAAAAAAGTTAATAAAAAATGTGCAAACCAGCTATCTGAAACGTTAACGGTATTCCAATAATACTGCAGGCTGACTGTGGTAACTACTGGTAATTCTAGCATAGAAGGTTGAACATAAATTATTCCACGTTCACAATACTTTGGCAGAAACATATTCTACGTGCCACTTTCACGAAACATTTCCAGACCCGTCTTTTGGACCTCTTCCAAAGTGATCTGCGTGCAGGTCCACTTGGGAATTCAGTCATTTTTGATTGCACTTGCCGGATAGTGTTCACTCCGCCATACTTGGGTGGGAGAATATTGATCTCTGGAGATGACTGGATATGAACTGCAAGTTTATGCCGTAGTTGCATTGGCCCGCAGAAAGCTTCGATCCTGCGATCGACGGCCAGGTCCAACGCGTCGATCAGTGAGGATCGGTGATGGAGTTGCACTGATGTTGGTGTGGTCTAATAATATGATAAAATAAAAAGTGTAAAATTCTTAAAGACAAAAAACATACAATATAACATTATATGTACATACCCGCTCTGGAGATCTGCTGCAGTGTATGTCGTCGTTGTCATCATCGTCGCCGTCTTTATCATCGTCGTTGTCGTCGTCCTTTCCATCATCATCATTGTCATCGTCATTTCTATCATCGTCGTTGTCGTCGTCATTTTTATCATCGTTGTTGTTGTCGTCATCTTCATCATCTTCATTAGTCTCAATAGTCTCATTATAGTCGTCATTAGTGTTATCGTCGTCGTCGGTCTCATCGTACATCTTTTGTTCAATAAAAACAATTGACCCATCATGGGCAGTAGTGTTGTAGTTCCGTTTTCCGTTATCTCCAATGTTTCCAATTTCCGATTCGTTTGTAGTTGCCAATTTCTCAAGCCGGTCTTTTGTCCCCATATTGTTCCCACGAGTAGGCATGAAATAAAACGTCGCACTGCGGCAGTGCAGCGTACCGCAGTGAAGGCAAATACTGTGGGGGGTGCCAAGTCCCCACAGGTTCCACGTGGACACACACTGACCTCTGTGCCAAGTACTCCCCCTTCACGAGTTTGGGGGTTGAGGGGTTTTTTTTCAGGGTTGTCCTTCCCTTAGGGCATTTGCTCAGCGCGAGCAGGCTGCCTCCGACCTTACCGGCCCTTTCTCCTATCACCTATTCAGAGAAAGAGCCGACTCAGAATTTTTTATCGTGGTTTTCCTTCCACTAGGGCTTTGCTGGCGCTAGCAGGCTACCTCCAACCTGCCGACCCCAGCCAGTTAAGGCGAGGGCGGCTCTTGAAACTCCGGCTCCAACCGATTAAGGTCACAGCCGGGTTGGGACCACTTGGTAAGACCTAATTAAAGGCTCGCAAGCTCCCCCACCACATCAAGGTGGATCCCGTCGGGGGAGTTCGTTAGTAAGTAATGTTATTTAAATAATAGTATTTTACATTAAGTTTTAAATTAAACACTAAAAAGTTTAAACTAAATTTAAATCAAAAATTAAATTCAAAGTTATTTTTCGTATTGTTATAATAAAAGCACAGTCTATAATGTTTATTACACTTGTACATCACAAGGATGAGAATTAATGAGTTGAAAACTTGAAAAGTTAATTGAATTTAAACTTTTTAATTTAATTAATTATTTTTTTAGTTTCCGTCAGTTTAACTATTAATAAATATATTTAATAAGCTATTCATTATAGTACTTACTCATAGTGGAAACGAATCCTGATTTCCAATAATTGTGATGAATTAAAAAAAAATAAGGTAAGCACTAATATCCACTAAATTGGTAATCGGTATATTTATAATAATAATAATTTATTTGAAATCAAAAACAGTATACCTACTAACAAAACAATTTTATATTAATGAATTAAAATATTGAATTCTCGAAAATATATAACATTTAAGTATATAATTGTACATGGTTCTCTGTTTTTATTATAAATAAATAAGCTTGCTATACAGAATGAGTGAGATTGTTCAATAACAATTTAGAAGAAATATGTTGATATAGCAAAAACTTTTAAAAAAAACGAATAAAATAAAATGTGTATAAAGATAATGAAAGAGCAAAATATGAATAAAAAAAATACCTAACAAAATTACATTTTATAAAATCATAATTATAACATCCTTATAAACTAAAATATAGTAAAATGAATTTATTGTTGATTATTTTAACTAAGCTACACAGAATAATCTTAATGTGAAAAAGAATTTAAATAGGTAATGAATTTTAAATTTCTTAAATCTAGTTCAAAATATTTAAGTACATAAATTCTACACCGATTATTAATTGGAGTACTGTGATACTTATAACCGACATTTTTACATATTATCTTTTAAAATATATATTCTATTTACATTTTTTAAATATTCTGTTTCTAGAAAAATATTATCAAATCAAGCTTTCTATATAATTGATACACTAATTTGCTAAGTTTTACAATATTCATCAATATTTTTATGTTCAATTAAAACCAATTTATCGCAGTCAGTAATACAAATAATATTTCCTTTAATTTTTAGTTTAATAAACCTCTTGCGTGAATAAGAAACAACAACACCCAAGACGACTGTTTCTGGAGGTATTCCAAATATTTACATTAAATTAATTAATTATATGTTCTTCAATTTTAATAATTTACGATCTATTTGAAAGATATTATGTAAAAAAATATAAAAGTCACAAATCTAATTCTTAAATCAAACTATTGCGATTCAAAGAATCAAAACCTTTTTTTAAATCTTAAAATAAACCAATAATCATATTATTACCATTATTATTACCTACTAGAAAAAATCAAATTCGAAGTTAATAAGAGTGCATTTTTTGTTGATTTGTGTTTCCGAAAACGAAATTGGAACGATTGATAACGTTATAGGTCTATTATTATGTTTTAGCAATGACTAACCTCATGGCCCATGGGTTTAGCTATCGAACGATTTACTGAATGAGTACAATTAATAAATGAAATATGTAATAAAATTAATATTCTTGAAAAAAGTCATAAGTTAAAAATTATAATTATAATCTTAAAAAAAAACAATTATAACATTTCAATTTGGAAACGTTGGAAAAAAATAGAATGTTCAAATCTTACAAATCGTATTTAATATTTTTAAAAATGTAATTTTAAACCGTAGATGTAGCCATGTAGGTATAATTATAAATTATTTATAATAACTGTTCTCAATCGTACTGTACCGAACTATTTCGTTTTGATTACGTTTCAGGTCGTAAGTACTTACCTATGACATAACGGAATAATGGATATTCGACTGTTTTCTGATATGGTCATCATCTCCATCGTCTGATCGCCGTCGCTTTTATTCCATTTTTGAGTACTTTTATAATAATAGGTAGCGACTAGCGAGCGAAGTTGCAAAAAGAAAAATCGTTTTTTAAAAATAATTACTGTAACACATTCCATAAAATAAACTGTTTTTTTTTTTAGCTAAACTAAATAATTGTAATAATTGTTTATTATTCGACGTCGATACCGACCTGCCTTGAAACATCTGTGGTTGTCACGTTTAATTGTTATTTATTTTCAGCCAGCGACAATTTTTTTCTAAGGTATTATTCCATAGACTCACGCTCGTAACAAATATCGACTATAGAGTTATTTAAACTTTACGCAAATATCTGTGATTTACTAAATCACACTAAATTTCATTATTATGCATTAATTAAATTATATTTTAATACTTATACCTATGTAATTAGGCACCTATGTGATAACTCACATAATTATAACACAGCGATGCTGTGACAGCATCAACAATGTCAAATGTCAATTTATAGTATTGTATTTTATTATTCCCATTCTATATTTTAGGGTTCAAATTGTAAAAATGATGTTTAAGTTTGTTTGCACTCCAGTGACTTGAGTTGAGATGCCACCCACTACAAAATGTCTATATCCATCACGCATAACTACTCGATTATTTCAATAAATTGTGTATTTAAGATACGCCATTATATATAGGTACTAACAATTATAAAACAAAACATTGAATGCTTATGAAGAATATTCATTGCGTTAATTTTTGTTTTACTCATACTTTTCTTATGAATGATATAATTTATTTATTTGGCATTGGTTTTCCAAGGGATTTAAAAGTCAACTATTAATAATAGATGCATTCATGAAATATTGGAACGAATGCAGTTTGATTCCTAAGCTATCTTTTTAAAACTTGTGTTTTTGGATGTTCAATGTTACAATGGTACTTATTCTTGAAAAGAGTTGGTAAAATTAAAATTAATTTTTTAAGACTAGCTCAAAAAACTTTAAATATTTGTTTTTATGATTAAATAACATTTTTTTTTTTATGTGAATTTTTACTTTTTACTTCCTAAACATTTTGGTGGAATCAGGTATTACCGCAATCATATTATTTTTATTTTGATAGTAAAGTAATTGAATAAAAAAATCTACTGACGCTTGACATTACGCAAACTTGTGGATTTTAAAAGTTATACGTTTTAAACTAAATTCTGAATGCAATATATTTTATTCTTAACTCATTGAAGTACATAAGTTCCGAAAAATGTTTTTAAAAATCGCTCGATAGCCAAACTGCATTTAATCCATAAAATAGACTACTATTTGTGGTGAATAAAATTTTAAGAAATAAAATTTTAGTGAGCTCAATATGTTCAAATTGGCCTTGCTGAGATGTTTAAACATTTTTTTTAGAAGAAGGAACGGAACAATACGACACATAATTTTGGCAACACATTGCCTTTCACACACTTTTTTTTTTCTTTTTTCGAACCGGTTTTCACATATGAAAATGTATGACATTTAATCAGCGGCGCAACTAGCTCAATTGTTTTGGGGGGACTGAAGTCCCACATATTTTGTATACATTTTCAAAAATATAACAGAGGGAGGGGCCTCTTCATAAAAAATCATTCTGTGTAAAATTCATTAAATTAACTTTATACAAATACTAACAAAAACTTGATAGTTTATTAATAATGTTTTACATAACTTAATTACTAAAAACAATAGAAAATAATTTATTTTAGCACAATCCTTCGGTCTTGTTCCGCAAATTTATTAACAATTACTTCAGTATCAATTTTGTTTGATAAATCTCTTTCAATATTTAACATAGCTAAAGAACTAAAACGATCTTCAGCCATGGTGGTTCTGAGCCAAGTCTTGACTCTTCTCATTGTACTAAAAGATCGCTCGCATGTAGACGAACTAACTGGGATTGTTATAGCAAGTTGTAAATGTTTATATAGATTTGGATACACTGATTGGTTTACAGTATTAATAATGTCAGCTAATTCAAATGTTTCTTTATTTTGTAGAAAGCTATTTTTTGCTACTGTCATCTCTGCTTCTAATATCTTTCTATTTACACATGTCAATCTCTGTAAAAAATAATTAAAAATGTATGAATATTGAATAGTGATCAAATACTCATTTGTAATTATATAACAAATCTCACTTCATAATGATCAACAAAATATTTGCTCTTTTCATAATTTAATTTGAGTAAATTATCAATCGAAGTAGCCAATTTCAGACTTTGTTCTGAAAATCTGTCTTCCATGTTAATTATAACACTGTCAATTACTTGATAATAAGCATGAATACACCAATATTCCTCTGGAGATAAAATTGTATCAGTGTCATTAATTAAACTAGCTGCACTAGTTGTTGTAGTTAAGTTGAAACTTTTTAAAGAATTTGGTTGTGTTCTTTTTCTTTTTGATTCTATAAAAATTAAAATTATTGGTTATTAGTGGTATTTTTAATACAAAATATGTTGATTAAAACTTTAGTATATTAGTTATTGTTTTTAAATAATAACCTTTGCATAGAGATGGTGTTTCTAATGAAATTTTATTTTTGTTAGCAAAGTTGACAATATTCTGCCAAAGCTTAGAGAATTCTGCGGCATTTCGTTTTTTTTTAAACGATTCTATCACTCCATTAACAGTTACACCAGTATTACCAAGTGTTGCAGTTTTTTGTTGTAATTGATTACTTAAAATATTTATCAACAGTAAAGTTTCATACAAAATAAATAAATAAATAACAAATGAACCCTTCTGTAGAATAGCTAAAATACCTGTTTTAAATAATGTAACTATTAATTTATATTATTTTTATGTATTAGACATTCATGATGCTAGTTTATAAGTGTTTACTGTATACAGCATACAATAGTTTATATACACTCACCTATTGCTTGAGTAACATTCTTATCACTGTCACTAACTATCTCTTCTTGTAATATTTGAATTATGCATTCAAAGTTATTAATTATCGACTCACAATTTTTAAATCGACAAATCCAACGCGTGTCACACACACGCATCAATGTTGACTTTTTAATTTTTAAATTTTCCTGAACTTCAATAAGTTTAGCATTTTTTGAGGGGTTTGAAAAATGCACAAAAACTGCTTCAATACCATTAAACATGTTTCTTGCGTCCTATAATCCAAATAATAATAAAATAAATTTTGAAAATATTATAAATTATGGTGTACCTAAGTAGTACCTATTATATTGTTATATTAAATTAAATATTATGTGTTATATTTTTTAAACAAACCTTAATATTTTTGCATGTGTCGACAACTACAAGATTTAGTTTATGGGCCATACAATGAATATAGATAGCTTCTGGGTTTTTGGAGCGTACCTTCGATTGAACCCCATTTTTATTGCCTGACATAACTGCAGCCCCGTCGTACGATTGAGCAATTATAGGAACAGAGTTTAAATTACATTATTCAATGAATGAAAAAATTGCAGAAGTCAGAGATTCAGCGTTTTGATTTTCTGAAACTTTTATGAACCCTAGAAATCTTTCTTCTACACATAATCCATTGGGATATCGAATACAAAAAGCCATATACTCTTCTTTAAATGACCTTTAAAAATAATCAAGTATTATACATTTATACTTATAGTAATAAAATCAAAACTATTCACCTGGCTTCGTCACACATAATAGAGTACATATTACAACTCTTAACTTCATCAATAATAGAGTTCTTAACATGTTGAGCACAAATATTCGCAATATCATTCTGAATCAACCAACTTCCATAGTTAATAGTGTTATTATAATAATTAGAAAACTGAGGATTATGTTTAGCAAATAGTTTACAAGCCTCTTTAAAATTTCCTAAGCATAAAAATATAAATTGATAAATAAATAAAATTAATTTTTAATTTACTAGTTTAGATAGAAATAAAAAAAATTTTACCTTGGTTGTTTGAACATAATCTCTCATCATGTCCCCTAAATGCTAGACCCTGACGTGCCAAGTACAGTATGATATCTGTTATTGTTTTAATATAATGTCTATTATCCGCAATTTGTTGTTTATGAGCATTAGATAATTGAGTATGAATTAACATTAAATGTAATGCTGCAATCATCACTCGGCTTTTCGTTTTTATGAACGATAGAATCTTCAATTGGTGTTTTACTAGTTTTATTATTTATTTTATTAAAAATGTCAAACAATTTTTTACTCATATTAAATGTGAGAGTACAAAGTTTAATAAAAAACGTACTAAATAAATTATAATTGAAACTTATTGACTAGACTAGGGAATATATTGCCGCGAGAAGTAGTCCGCGCTATTTTGTCATGCGTGCAGCGTGTTAGTAAAATATTGTACAATGTACATAACCGTCGTGGACTGTGGAGTCGTCCATCATAACCTCAAAACTTCATATTAAAGGCGGCACCACAGATATATAAACACGTGACTGGCACAATCATCAATAATAAAATGATGGTAATAACGTTATAACAGTATTGCTACTTGCTACTAACCAATAAAAATAAAAACCAAGACGTATTTTTTTTTTATAAAAAAATTGTTTTGTGAAAATACTTCAACTGAAGAACATTCATTGTTTCGTAAATCAGTATTTACTATTTTTCAAGAACAAAAAAATTTTAAAAGTGCTGAAAAGAAATTTTTTGGGGGGACTATTACAAATTTTGGGGGGGACTAAAAGATTCCGAAGTGGGGAGTGAGCCCCCCCAAGCCCCCCCCCCCTATTTGCGCCACTGCATTTAATAAATAACAATATGTAGTAACGAATAATTCAAACAATAATGATCATACCTTTTGATGAATACATTTTTTTTTCATGTATAATTTTTGACATGTACCAACACAAATTATCATAACAATCATTGTGCATTGTTTATATTGCATGTATTGTATCATCATTATTATTATTAAAAATACTAACCTACTTGTTTTTTGGTGTTGTGATTTATACATTTATTATATTAATTGTTGCAATATATATTTGTTGTATAATGTGTTGTAGTATTTGTTCATAGTATTATATTTTTTTACATTAGGTATATTATATTATTTAAACATTTTGTGTTGTATGACGTTCAAAATACATATATTTTATTAGTACAGTACTACAGTGATTAAACCATTTTTGAAAGTCCATAAATGATTGGCTGCCGTTGGATTCGCAAAAAAAATAGAAGATGAACTTGAATCGTTATGGCTTTATTTTGTGGTTAGCAAAATTAAATCGAATCTGGTGGTTAAGTTGTAATTCAAATAGGTTAGGTATTTACCTACCACATTATATAAATTATACATTCGGAAAAATTAGAAGGATAAAAAACAATATCAGATGTTTTCACCCCAAATCAACATTTCTTACTATTGGTAGTTATACCTATGCAATGTTACACAAACTCATTCCCAAGTGTGATGTGAAAAGAAACTTCGGAAATTAATGTTTACTTATCATTTATTATTTTACTATTTTATTTATGTATTATTAGCTTAACAAATACATAAACTGTAAGACGTCGATTAAATTACTATATGTAAGTTATTTGTTATCATTAAAAAATGTGTAGTATTTAATTTTATACAGAAAAAAGCAACCGAATTTTAACTAAGTTGAGTTGCTTTTATTTTCTAGTTAACCTATTCGTGCATGTCATATTTATAGTAGGTAATAATATATATTGCAATGATATCATCAAAAATAGATGGATTTTATTGATGTTATAATATTCTCCTAGTTGCCTTAATAAGTTTACCTACTTTCGTCCGCATAATTAAACAATAATATTATAATTTACAAGCACAACAATTGTATGTCTAAGTTTCAAAAAAGCGTTCGTATTAAGCTCGTATATATTTGCAAAAAATGAGAAATCTGTGTTGATATTCACTCGCGCTCTTAATAATATATTTATGTGGTACCTATACCTACCTACTTATATTTGAAAGAATAAATACATTTTTACTTTTTAAGTGACGTTCGACGCAAAATATCATATTGAATGATTAGATATTCCTAACTCGGTTATTGTTTTTTACACTTTTCTACAACTAGTTATACTATAAAATCTTATTTTGAAAAAAAAATTCGTCGAAATTCAATATTTGTACAAATATTCTATAAATAACATTTGCACGTTTTTATTTCTATTAATATATATTTTTACCTTTTGATCGACCCCAAATTTTGTTTGAAAAAATGAAGGTGAAAACTGCAAAAAAACCTAAATTAGGACACCTTCATTAAAAGTGACACTGGACACTGGGACCCCAGTTTGCAGCGTAATTGAGCCACTGAGCTCGGTAGATGAGGATTCCACATAACCGAACCATATTCTAAATGGAAACAAACCAGTGAAAAATATACAATTTTTAAGCGAATTTAATATTTAAGCTCCGAGCAACTACGGATTATGAAATTAAATTTACACGGAGATAGGTATACATTGTGTACTGTGTTCAATAAATGACGAGCTATAAAGTGAATCGTTTTATACGGGTTGAGATCATGTACCTCGTTGATAAAAATACGTAATATAATTTTTTCTCTTTTGAATGTTGAATTACCTTCCCTGTACATAAAGAGTAAAATTTATTATTTTTCATTGTCAACAATTTACTTTCATATTAATTGTAATGGTGGTTAGGTGAGTTGTAAAACAAACTTGGCAATAATATGACTTAATACACACTTATATTACGTTGGTCGTAGGAACCTAACGAGTAACGTTGACTATAGTAACGAGTGACAACTAACGATGTACATAATTGTATACAATTATTTATTAGGTATACTATAGATATATTATTATATAGATCGGATCAAGCAGTAGATTCACTGGTGTATTCAAGTCGAATATAACTATAACAATACAACAATACACAACAATATAATATGTTGCTGCAAGTACCTACATCTATTTTTTAAATTCTGAACCGAGCGGAGATTGTATTGATTTTACAATGATGATGGCTTTTTTTTTATTAGCGACTAAAGAGAGTAGAAAAAAAATGCTTCGATCATCAACTTAGGGGGAGGTTGCTTGTTGAAAATATCGGATGTATTTTTTTTGAACATTTTGTTACAATTTGAATTTTTCTATTAAAAAATCGGGTAAGGTAAGTGGATGTCTCTCTGCTGTACATTAGGCGTCTAAGTGGTCGCTTGAAATCTTCAAGAATATATATTTTTTAATTACAACAAAATAAATAAAAACGTTCTACTTTGTTTAAATATCAGATTCTAATTTCAACATTTGTCTTTGATAGTGCCTAAGTGTTTCTTTCATTAAAATATTTTTTACTTAATAACAAATATATTGATTTATACTCTTAATAATTCTACTAATTTTTAAGTAGTTTTGAGAGCTCAAAACACATACATATAATAAACTAATTATTTGTCAGGCTTTTCTTTCTGTTTTCTCTCTTTTACAGTATATTATTATATATACTTATGCCTATTCAATAACAATAAATCTTTTTGAAGTATTTCATGATGATAGATCTAAGTCGTTAGATATTATAAAATATATATAAATAAAGGGAATAAGAAAAGTATTTTGTATTATACATTTTCGAACCTTGTTTGTTTTTTTTTTTAATCAATTCAATTACTTTTACATAATAAAAAACCAAAACACAGTCAAATGAATGAATTGAAAAACAATTTATATAAAATTAGGAGGTCTAGCAATGGCTACTGCTCCCACACAATATTCTGGTACATTTATTGAAGCTTCTAGCAATGTCCAGGTATTAGAGATTAGATTGTAGAATTCTACAGAACCACAAGTAACACCGATAATTCCACCAATGACATACAATAAACCATCTAATGCAACTACACCTATATTAAAAATTTTACTCAAATTAATTACATTTGAAATAAATTGTTTCATAAAATAATTTTGAATTATTAAAAGAGTATTTACCTGCATTTGCCCGACAAAAATGCATGTCTGCAATAGTAATCCAAACTCCTGTACTTGGACTGTAAGCTTCAACACTTTTCAGTGTTTCAAATCCATTGTGGCCACCTATAGCATAGAGTACACCATCTAACACTCCAACACCAGCACCAGAGCGAGGTTCACACATTTCTGCGACTGGTGTCCATGTATCAAGACTGGGATGATAACATTCAACAGATTTTAAATCCTCATCCTCATCATAATCTCCAACCTACACGATAAAATTAAAACATATTTCAAAATAACAATTCTATTAATTTTTTTTAATTACAAAACTACATTTTTAATTCATTCATTGTTATCAATATATCAAATTAAATATAGTAAAATTTAAACAATTATTAGAAACTAAAAATCAAGCTAGATGATCAACTAATAAAGAATCATTTTGTAATCAAAATTATACACTTAAGCTTACTATAATGTAGAAAATATACATTGAACAAAATTAATTTGCTTGTATATATTTTATATTATTATTTTCAAACGCTATCAATGTAAATAAGTAAGAGGACACTATACCCACATGTGTTCAGTGTTCTTTATGTTTTTCAAATGCTAAACATTGCAGAAACTGTTTTTCGAGGGTAAGAACTCAGGCTGTACTCCAAGATAATCAACCAAATTTTCACATTTTAAAGACAAGGACATTGACTGTGCAACTGTGTTTTTAATTATTCGATATCAGAAATGTTAAAAACATTTTTGTAGTTTAAAAATTAATTATTTTTTGGTTTATCCAAATACTTTAAATTGGAGATATAATCCAAGATTCTTACATGGGAGATTTTTTTATTACCATAACGATTATTATTGTAACAAAATATGTATTACACATTAAAAGTAATAAAATAAATATTAGTTTACCGCATATAAAAGATTTTCCAGTACTCCAACACTAACGCCAGATCTTCTAAAAGACATACTAGACACCATACGCCATTCTTGGGTTCTATAGTCAAAAACTTCTGCACTATTTAAACCACTTGAACCATCAATTCCGCCAACCTTGAATGTATTTTATAATTAATAAGTTTCTAAATTATAAAAGAAATAACTAAAAAAAATGTGAATTACATTTTTTAACATAACTTACGGCATACAGATAATTATTCATAATGCAAACTCCTAAACCTCGTCTTTTAACTGACATGTTTACAGATGATTTCCAACAGGGTGATTCTGCTGAGAAATCTAGCACATCAACAGACTGAAGGGAGGATATTCCATTTACACCACCCACAGCAAACACAAAGTTGTCTTTTAATAAAACAAGACCACCTTCATTATGGTGTTGCATCACTTCTGGACCTGTCTGCCATCGGTTGATTTATGGATCATACCATTCTGTACAACCAATTGCCCCTTTGCTTCCAACAACAAAAACTACCTGTGAAATATAAATAGATCAAAAATATTAGAAGAGAAATAAATTATGATTAAATCATACATTACGTAAACCAGCAGGGCGTCTAGGTTTAATCCGGATGCATTCTGGAACAGTGATAAGC